TATATATAGACTGTATATATTTATTTAATAATTAAATTTTAAGGAAGGATAAGTTAATTTTGCATATATTTATTTATTTAAATTTATAATTATAATTTTTTTTGTAAATTTAATGCTTATAAATACACAAAGAAACAAACTATGATTCGTGAAAAAATTATCTATTTTATTGCTATTCGAAATAAATTAAATATAATCCATACATAAGTTTTATTACAAATTACAAAATATTTTATTACAAAATTATATATATGTATGTATATATGTATGTTTGTATTTATGACATTCCACATAAAATAAATACAATTTTTTTATTAAATAAATTATAAAAAATTAAAGAGGAGATTAAAGAAAATGATGAACAATTCTTAAGTAAAAGATAAGAAGGAAAAACATTATCGTTATCATTATTATCATTATTATTATTATTGTTTCTTTCTTTCTACTTCTAATTATTTAAAAAATGCATAGGAAATATTTATTGCTTATTATTTTACAACTGTATTGCTCTATAATATTTCCATAATAAAAACATTATCACAACAAACTTTGCTTTCATCCATGACACTTTTTCCCTCTAGAAAATCCTTTTATCTGATCATAATTTGCGTTAAAAAACAGCATAATTAATGCATAATTAAGTTATAATTATTATAACAAAGAACGTACAGAGGTATATTTTTTTGTATTTATGCTTACATACATTTTTTGTACAAGTTTCGAGTAAGGAAAGAATTGTAAATGTATGTATGTATGTATGTATATATATATATATGTATGTATATAATTCTGCATAGAAATTGATAGGAAAATTTTATAATCCTTTAATGACTAGTTAATTCTCAATAGAAGATAATACAGATAAATTTGATTAATTGATCTTACATTGTGTAGCTCTGTAAAATGATTCAACTTTTAACTCCCAAACAGCAATCATCTTCCAAGATAATTGCTTTGATAAAAGTTTAATAATTATTCACGTTTATCGACTGATTAAAATGAAGATAATTCGTTACGGATTATCTTCATTTAATTGAGGCTTAGTGATTATCTAGGATTAGAATAATCTGAATGAATTTTATTAAACGATTTGTATCCAAATATTTATTGTTAATTTTCTTTTTTTCTAAAAATAACTATCAGATGTAAAAACAAATATATGCAATATCAACAGTATTAGGAGGTATTTTTCAATGTATATATGTATGCATAAATACAGATTTTTGAGGTAATCGTTATCCAGAATCTGTTATGGCATTTCTTCAACCAAAAATTTACACATTTTAAGCAAAGAAAACGAGGAAAAACAACACGTATAAAATTCCATAAATAAATAAATATATATTCAAATTTATTGCTGTGAATTTACATATGTATATATATTTATATTATATATATATTTTTTTATTATTTCATTCTGAAATTATAAAAGTTTTATTGCTCTGGATACACAATTTTTGCTTTGATAACTCGATAAACTTATCAATGTGCATCACTCGTAATTAGCATCACGCGTTATATGTGATTAAAATTAAAAGTTATTGCTTTGTATTATTGCTAAAAAGTAAATAAATTAACGAGAGCAAAGAAGCTAGCAGCATTTATTTAATATATTGTTTGTCACTTTGAGCAATGTAACCCGTTCTTCCCTATCTTCTATACTTGAAATTCGTTTGTTGTAACTTCATTATGGTCAGGAACATTATTGGTTCGATTCGCATTACTTTCTTCTTTAAAACAAGACGATTCGTAATGTTTGTTCAAGTAGGACTTAAGTGCGAATGTTTTATTGCATCTTTGACAGCGGAAATGTTTTAGGGAAGAATGGGTCTGCATATGTGCCCTTAAGTTGGAACGATCAGCGAATGCTTTACCACAATGCGCACAACCAAATGGTTTCTCACCTGTGTGGGACCTCATGTGGCCCTGAAGTAACCAGGGCCTGGAGAATGCTTTCCCGCACACATTACACTTGTGGTTGAGATTGTGAGTTAAAATATGCATGGCTAGAGCAGGCATGCTTACGTACACTTTACTACACGTGGGACACTTTTTGGCTAGTTGCGAATCGGGACTACGATGGGTTTGCTTGTGTCTGGACAGGTTAGATGAAGTAGCGTAGTGTTNATGCAGTTAAATTTTTAGTAAATCTGTACGTCTGTATTTATTTTTATAGCTAAAATGCTACACTAATTCTTATATATTCTGTAACATAAATTGGTTTTAGCATCTTCCTTATTGTTATATTCTTCCTCAAAAATGAGCATACTATATATATATATAATGGTAAGCTTGATAATATATATAAAACGTTGATTAATTAGCTTCTAAATCTGTTAAGTACCGTGATTCCACTCTTTAAAATAGTGTTGATAGTTAAATTATTAGTCCTTAAAACAGTAACCGAAATCAGAAATCTCTAGAGCAATATCTTTTATGTACAACTAGATGGATAATTTGTTAGTAACAGGTCATATCAAAATAATGGTCCTACATAAAGATAGAATTTGTATCCTACTAGAAACATTAGTGCAGAGAGGCTATTTAACCGTGTATTACTCAAATATTCTCTCTAGTAAACTGGAGAGTTCGTATGACTTCTGAGATTACATTTTTCTCTATGACTTTTTCTACCTTTTTATATAGATGCTCTATTATTAATAATATCGGTACTAGAGTATTGTAAACATATGTAAATGCGATTTAAATAATATGCATAATATTACTCTCTAAGGTTATGGAATATATATATATAACATAGTAAGTAGCCTTTAAAATAACTATCTCGATTAGGATCCTCTAAATTAGTCATATATAACCACTAACATAACATGTCCTTTGATTATTAGTCCCTAAAATAGAGTTAATACCACGAATATTCAACCCTAAAATGCAATGCACATCCTGTTAAGAATTCATATGTTATACTTACAATTTAATGAGATAATAATAATGTATACGGCAGAATTACATTTTAAAATCGCATATTTTTTGTATTATACAACCTTTGTAAATTATAGAAGTTAATATTCTAAACTAATACATAAATAAAGCAACAATAAACAAATAACTTCTCTCATATATCATGAAAGTATAGGGATGCGGATGGAGGGGGATGGAGAGGTATTACTTTTTCATGAAGAAAATCTCAAATGTGTTTTTTATTCATAAAAGAGTAGCAGCATTAACAAACAGATAATATATATATATAATAAATTTGATTAATTGATCTTACATTGTGTAGCTCTGTAAAATGATTCAACTTTTAACTCCCAAACAGCAATCATCTTCCAAGATAATTGCTTTGATAAAAGTTTAATAATTATTCACGTTTATCGACTGATTAAAATGAAGATAATTCGTTACGGATTATCTTCATTTAATTGAGGCTTAGTGATTATCTAGGATTAGAATAATCTGAATGAATTTTATTAAACGATTTGTATCCAAATATTTATTGTTAATTTTCTTTTTTTCTAAAAATAACTATCAGATGTAAAAACAAATATATGCAATATCAACAGTATTAGGAGGTATTTTTCAATGTATATATGTATGCATAAATACAGATTTTTGAGGTAATCGTTATCCAGAATCTGTTATGGCATTTCTTCAACCAAAAATTTACACATTTTAAGCAAAGAAAACGAGGAAAAACAACACGTATAAAATTCCATAAATAAATAAATATATATTCAAATTTATTGCTGTGAATTTACATATGTATATATATTTATATTATATATATATTTTTTTATTATTTCATTCTGAAATTATAAAAGTTTTATTGCTCTGGATACACAATTTTTGCTTTGATAACTCGATAAACTTATCAATGTGCATCACTCGTAATTAGCATCACGCGTTATATGTGATTAAAATTAAAAGTTATTGCTTTGTATTATTGCTAAAAAGTAAATAAATTAACGAGAGCAAAGAAGCTAGCAGCATTTATTTAATATATTGTTTGTCACTTTGAGCAATGTAACCCGTTCTTCCCTATCTTCTATACTTGAAATTCGTTTGTTGTAACTTCATTATGGTCAGGAACATTATTGGTTCGATTCGCATTACTTTCTTCTTTAAAACAAGACGATTCGTAATGTTTGTTCAAGTAGGACTTAAGTGCGAATGTTTTATTGCATCTTTGACAGCGGAAATGTTTTAGGGAAGAATGGGTCTGCATATGTGCCCTTAAGTTGGAACGATCAGCGAATGCTTTACCACAATGCGCACAACCAAATGGTTTCTCACCTGTGTGGGACCTCATGTGGCCCTGAAGTAACCAGGGCCTGGAGAATGCTTTCCCGCACACATTACACTTGTGGTTGAGATTGTGAGTTAAAATATGCATGGCTAGAGCAGGCATGCTTACGTACACTTTACTACACGTGGGACACTTTTTGGCTAGTTGCGAATCGGGACTACGATGGGTTTGCTTGTGTCTGGACAGGTTAGATGAAGTAGCGTAGTGTTTACCACACTCGGTACATGTGTAACGTGGTCGTTCTCTTTCAGGCACTCCTATGGTTGTTCTTCTCCTCGAGCGACCATCGCTGATAAAGAATGCGTCGTATGTGTAGCCAATTGTTGTTGTTGAACTCGTTGAGAAAGGATCGGAGGGGTTGGTGTTCGTGCACAGCTCTGGTGTATCCAAATTTGTCTGTATGCCGTAATCATCGCCGGGTTTCACGTACGTCCAACTTCCGGTGGAACTATCGTGGTCGGATGCTGTGATATCGGAAGTATAGCCTGTGGGGAATAGTGAATAGTTATATCCCCATCTATCATGCTAGTGAAGTGTAGATTAAACATTGTTATTACATACTAGACAACTTAAACTCATCACGTTTTAGTTCTTTAACTATAAAAAATTTATCATGATCTATAAACTATATTAATTAATCTAAAATTATTTATAAAATATAGAATTACCATAATTATATGTTTAAAAGTAATTAAAGTCTATTAAAAGTTAATAGAGTCCCCTGTGAAACTGTCTTCTCCTTTTAGATTTGTGTTTTGCAGGTAAGCCTATCATCCGTTAATATAAACTTTATCGTTGGAAAATATATAAAATTTTATAAAATTATTTTTTCAAATTTGCCTTTTTCTATATAAAACAAATTAAAATATAAAAATTAACTACAATTATAAAAATATATTTTTAATTTACGAAGATTTTTGAAGTTGCTCCTGCGAAACAATTTTGTCTTCAGTATCGATATGAATTTCTACATCTACAAATTGATAAGAAAATCCTTATTTTTCTTTTAAAATAGAATAAATTATAATAAATATATTCAAAATAGAGAGAGTTTCTTTTAATAATTTGATCTAAAAAAATTAAATTTTCATAAAACATAAATTAATTTTATTGTAAATCGAGTTTATTGCCAGATTATTTTTATTGAATTTACATAATTTAAATATTTTGTATATAATTATGTGTTTATAGCCATAAAAAACCTCGAAATGTATAAATCAGAATGTTCTTTCTAGGAAAAATAAAATTATTTTTTTTAAATGAAAAGAGGCGAAACGTTGAAGGAAAAAAATGTTTTTCGAAATGAACATATTAAATGCATCAAAGCAACACAAATAATATACAAAGGGGGAAGAAACACACATCAAAAAACAAAACTACTCTAAAAACATTTAATGCTGTGAATAAATCGATAATTTTGGAAAGATTGACGTATTCAAAACTAAGATGATTGCTAATTCACATCTCACGTGTTTAAGTATCGTGTTATAAATCGCGTGAAAATAGATTTGTTCATGAGATGCCACGCGAACTACCAATGCAGAAAATGCGAAACAGGAGCGTAAGAGAGAAAGAAGTGTGTAAAAAAAATTAACCCATTGCTTCATCCACAGCTGTAATAGCAATTTCATACATCAATCGTTTCTTAGAAAGGTACGAGGAGAATCCTTCATTTTAGAATTATTCTTATCGAAGAAAATTATAATTTTTTAACAGTTACACGTGAAATTTTTAATATAGTAAACAATATTTGCCATCGTGAACACCAGTTGCGTGTTTCGCTACTTAGCAACGTCTCCCTTCAAAACAATTCTAAATTTTGTTTTCGATACCTGAATACGGTGAAAGAGGATGTAAACAAGTCTAAAATAAAGCTTTCATATATAAAAATCTTTATTTATTATATAATTTCTCCGTTAATTATTCTATATTTTCACAAGGGAGGAAGAAAAGAAATAATGTATACTTTAAAAATTACTTTTGAAGCTTTTAATAGAAAAGTAAAAAGATTTGTACCATTGAGTATAATTTCATTTAATTTTCACACTCTAATTAATTTTCTATTTAATACCAGAAAGGAAAAAATATATTCATATTTTAACCTAAAATATCAACCCTAAACTGTCAAAATTAATTGGATAAATAATTTTTTAAAACACTAATTATTCATTCTCATCATCTTATAAGCTACTTTACATCATAATTTCTTCATTCTTAGAAATCCATTAGGGATCATTAAGAACAAATTTCATATTTATGTTACTTTAATCAAGTATTTTTTTATATATTTTTCAACTAAATAATTCAAAACATTGGATAGTAGGAGGGGAAAAAAGAGGAATTTTGTATAAAACAAGGTTCTAGCACACGAAAAACCTAGGAAGCGTAGCGTTTGATCGATTGTGAAGCATTATGTAAACGACTTTTATATATTAAGTACTTTTTCCCATCATTCTCTTGGGAACACTTCGAACGCAGTCGAAGCAACCGAACGTGTTTCTCCGAACATTTACTGACAACACCTCAGCTGTAGAAGTAACTCAAAACGAGACTTCTGGAATGCAGAAAGCATTCAACTGCAATAGGTGATAAATCCTTTTTTCCTACTTTCACTATACCCCACTTTTTCTTTTCTGTTTTTTTTTCTTTTAGTTCCACAATGCAACCTGTAGATAGGAACTTTATTGATTTCCAAGGTTGGTTGGCAACCTGCAGCAATGATGGTGTGACATTTACCTGCTTCGCTAACGACCTACTACAATGGAATGTCGCTGGACACTGTGTTGCTGTTGATCCAATAGAGGCAATAATCTACTGACTGGAGGGTTGAGCAAACAAACATTGCAACAGTTTCTGCTATTTGGTTTTATATGAGATGTTCGTGTATATCGTCATTTAATCGCGTTTAGATGAAATTAGATATTCTATTATTGCTAAACTGCTTTAAGCGCCCTCCACATAGTAATTCTATCACAATTTTTTTCCTCTTAAATGCTTAATTTTATCCCATTTCGTCGCCACCAACAAACTCGATCTTCTCACAATAAAAATTGTATGATCTTTAAGCAAAGTTTTGCTTGTATTTCTTTTTAAAATTAACTCTTGTTTTGTTTATAAGCGAGTTAATTACTTGACAAAAAAACCTTACAAACTAATAAACATTGCGAAATTTACTTTACCGTAATTAATTTTAATTAAATAATCCTTTAAATGTTTTTAAACAGATAAAAATCTCCAAGAATTTGTAGAGCTTGTTTCATTACTTAAATTAATTATCGCTTTTTTACGTCGATTTTTTTTATAAGAATGAATATTTGATAATTAATAAATGTGTTAATTTTATGCTTACGTATTTAATTTTAATATAAATTATTATTTTTTTATCTCTTTCTTCCGTTCAAATATTATTTTTAAGCAGTCAAGCTTACTCCTGTAAAGCGTGCTTCACCTCGCATCTCCGTTGTTATGAAAGGAAAGTGACAGTTAAATCAAATCGTGGATCAGTCGCCGTTTTTATCGTTTATTTCTCGCCTAAGTTTTTAATTTGTTAAAATTTAATTAATTTTAATAAACAGCAAAAATATTTACGATATGTTTTATAAGATTTAAGCGATAAATAGTTAATTAAAGCATCTAGAAATAGCAAGTTACGAGATTGAAAGGTAGGAAAAGTGTTTAAAAAAAATTAGGTCGTGGGGAGGAAACATCATTCGATGTTAACGTACAGTACTACGATGTTTAGCACATACGTTGATTTCCTCTTTTTACTTAAACTATATTTTCACACGCCATGTTTCCATTATCGTCAGTAAGAGAACTTCTAGCATATAACACTTATAAGATTTCTACTTAATCAACCTGTTGACCTGTACTAAAACTTATTTATTTATTTATTTAAAAATAGATCGATCAGTTTTATATAACTTACCGGTGTTAAATCGGACGGCAGTACATTGATGGGACGGCGAAGGAGGACTTGGTGCCGGTGCAGCTTCAGTTGGACTGGAAGGTTCTCTGTAAGTCCATCTGCTTCCATGCTCAACTGGGTTTTTACCCTTCTTAACCAGGAACGAACGCGGCATTTTGTGTCTACCTCAACATTCCATGTGACACGCTGCGACTGGAGTTGTCAACACGGTGCAGAGTCGAACTGTCTGCTCTGCTGCTGCTTTAGTCTCGCTCTGAGAGTGGCTTGCGCCAGCTGTGCTGTGCGACGCTCATGATTCTACCAATGAGAGACCAAGAGACGGCTTGGTAGTTCGCGCCTAATCGGATACCAAATTAATGGGTTAAACAACGGATGACGTAACGCAGAGTACTGGTAAGAGGCGCCCTCTCCTTTGCTTCTCCCTCGCTTAATCATGCTGCAGATGAGTTCTCTGCTTTTTTCTACTTCTTTTCCAAAAATTAATTCTATGATTAGTTAACCCGTTTTATAATAAAGTAGATATATTATTTTTAATCCGCATCCTTCTTATGAATCACTTTATTTAAAGTTAAGAAAAATTCTATATTTTCTCCTATTATTGTTAAGATCTCTCTTGATACTTTTTGATAGCTCGTTAAATAATTTAATATTGTTTACAAAGGAAATAGTTTACTGTTAAAGAGAACTCTCTCTGCTTTAATTTTTTTCCTAGAATTAAAGTCAATAAGTTGAACTAACGTAAGACATATATTATTGAAAAATAGTGCTATATAACTTTAAAAATAATTGATAAATAATCTAAAATAATACTTAATGCAGTTAAATTTTTAGTAAATCTGTACGTCTGTATTTATTTTTATAGCTAAAATGCTACACTAATTCTTATATATTCTGTAACATAAATTGGTTTTAGCATCTTCCTTATTGTTATATTCTTCCTCAAAAATGAGCATACTATATATATATATAATGGTAAGCTTGATAATATATATAAAACGTTGATTAATTAGCTTCTAAATCTGTTAAGTACCGTGATTCCACTCTTTAAAATAGTGTTGATAGTTAAATTACTAGTCCTTAAAACAGTAACCGAAATCAGAAATCTCTAGAGCAATATCTTTTATGTACAACTAGATGGATAATTTGTTAGTAACAGGTCATATCAAAATAATGGTACTACATAAAGATAGAATTTGTATCCTACTAGAAACATTAGTGCAGAGAGGCTATTTAACCGTCTATTACTCAAATATTCTCTCTAGTAAACTGGAGAGTTCGTATGACTTCTGAGATTACATTTTTCTCTATGACTTTTTCTACCTTTTTATATAGATGCTCTATTATTAATAATATCGGTACTAGAGTATTGTAAACATATGTAAATGCGATTTAAATAATATGCATAATATTACTCTCTAAGGTTATGGAATATATATATATAACATAGTAAGTAGCCTTTAAAATAACTATCTCGATTAGGATCCTCTAAATTAGTCATATATAACCACTAACATAACATGTCCTTTGATTATTAGTCCCTAAAATAGAGTTAATACCACGAATATTCAACCCTAAAATGCAATGCACATCCTGTTAAGAATTCATATGTTATACTTACAATTTAATGAGATAATAATAATGTATACGGCAGAATTACATTTTAAAATCGCATATTTTTTGTATTATACAACCTTTGTAAATTATAGAAGTTAATATTCTAAACTAATACATAAATAAAGCAACAATAAACAAATAACTTCTCTCATATATCATGAAAGTATAGGGATGCGGATGGAGGGGGATGGAGAGGTATTACTTTTTCATGAAGAAAATCTCAAATGTGTTTTTTATTCATAAAAGAGTAGCAGCATTAACAAACAGATAATATATATATATATATATATGANTATATTTATTTAAAAAAAGCTAAAATAATTACGAGTTAATATCATAAAAACATGTAAATTTGGAGATTACTACGCTCGAATTAAATTCGTTATTTTTTGTATATCTTATATAATAACTGTTGATAAAGATATTTGCTTGGTTAAAACAAACAGTGAGGAAAAGAACAGAAAAATCTAAAGTACGTGATGTGCGAGATAAGAAACGGGGGGATGATGATAGTATATAGTACGTGGAAGGCATTTGAAACAAGCGACTTCTTTCCCTTATCGTGTTTGTAGCTGAATTTAGTTTTGTTGGTAGAGGATTACCGAGGTATGACGATAATATGAAACAGTAAGGAAGAGGAAAGTGTATGTTCATGATAGATTAATTCTTTAAAATATGTACTACGTTTGAAGGATAACATCAAGCAAGAATTTTGCTGAATGAGCTTCATAAAAGCGAATTTAATTGATGCAAATTACTTAATTGAATTATTATTAATGTGAATTTCTAACGAATAAAATCACAAAATGATGATTTCGAATTTCTTCTTGTTTTCTTCCCCCTCTTCCTCCTCCTCTTAGATATTTTAAATATTCTAGAATTAAATTCTTAATTATTGCTTTGTAGAAGTTATGTTTATTTGTGTCTGTAGAATTGGAAAGATATTAAAATTTTACAAATGATAAGCTCTAGAAACTTGTTAAATTTTCAAAATTCTGGTTTCTAAATTTCTTTCGACAGTAACAAGATTCTCAAATTTAGAACAGGAATATTGTAAAATGATATCAAATCTTGGCATGTGGTTAAGTCGATAGTGAAGTGAATCTTCTTTTTTTGGCATTCGATTGAGTGAAGAGGGATAGGTAATCAAATTTTATATAGTTTATTCACTGTCGTAATGTGATGCTAAAATTTTATTTCTGGTTCAAGTATTTATAAGAGGAAAAAAGAGAAAAAGAATTGGCATAGTTCTGATGCGAGCAATACAAATTTAGTATCAGATTTGACTATATAATAGTGAATATTTGGCAAACAGTTGGAATTTATGCTTATAGAAACACGATACTTGATTTTTTATACCTACTTCTATCTACTATTGCTTCTATAAATTAAATAATTCACTTCTAGACTATAATATCAACAAGTTTTGAGTTTATACACCTTAAATTTCTTTACTAGACTAGCCTTTACACATTAAAACGTGTTATGTTAAAAGTTAAAATGTGTAACACATTAAAATACATAATTTTAAGCTAACTTTTTAATTATTAAGTTATAAAAGTATAAAAATTTAAGAGGAATAATTATATTTTATCTAGAATCTTCTCTCTCTAGAGAAGATCTCTCTCTCTCTCTCTCACTTTTCTGTTTTAGTGCTTGAAAAATAAAAAAGCAGAACGAGTGGTTTAAAAATATAAACTGCAGATTTAATCTAGGAATGTTTAATTCTAATTATACAACTTATAATCCGGCTGTAATTCAGAGTAATCTCATAATCCTTAATATAGTTTAATTGCATCTTTATGACTAAAGTATGTCGTGGGGTAAACTGTTGCCAACGTTTAAGCATTGGGATTGTGCAATTTTATGGCTGAGATCTCATCTTTGAGGATCACTTCTGGTAAAACGATCCACGCGAGAAGCGCAGCCCTCAAAATTAATGAAATCACGCGATTTGCGTACGTGCGTGAAGCAAGATGTGAGACTTACGTCACGTAAAGTATGGGAACTGGAAACGTGGTAATTTAACTTAAACGGAGACAATACTTTCATCTACACGATTCAGTCCCTTTTTTATATTATTATCGTGTTGTTCGTGTAAAAAAATCTGCACAGAGGTCATTTAATGGTGTTAAGTCGTACTTTTTATCTTTTATAAACGTTTTTCTTTTGCTTAATTCGTTAAATTTTTTTCCATTAATTTAGCTCCTCGAGTAATAAATTTCGAAGATATAAAAGATGTTTAAGCAAAATTTTATTTTGGAAATTAATAATTAGTAATTAATTACTAAATATTGATACAGTTTGTTCGGGATTATTCGGAATTAATCGATAATTTAATCTGCAATTTTAGTTAAATTTACTAAAAAAAATCTACTTAAAGAAAGTGTATTTATGTTTAGAAAGCGCAGAGATAAATAACGACATATCAAAACATTATTTCTTTTTTCCTTGTATACATTTCAACTTATAAGCCATGTAGATTTTTGAATATATTCACAGTTATAATTCATAATAAACTTTGTACATTTTCACAAGTTTCTAAGAAAATTTTTAAATTTATATTTATAGAAAACAGTATCTGTGCACTCCCATAAATTATATATATATAGAAATACCCAAGCAACATTTAAATGAAACTTTAGAATATTCTCCTGTACATGTGTCTTTGTTGCATTATTCAGGTGCTAACAGGAAAGCATTACTCGAATATATTCGTATTTTTCAGAAATAATTTTCTAGCAGAAGAAAAGAAAGTAGAAAATAAATGAAATTTATTAAAAACAATTTCGAAAAACGTATAAATTTATGTATATATTTGGTACTACTTTCTCCATTTTCTTTTATAAAATTTCGTTTTCTGAGAGTAGATACCAAAGGTTTCTTTGTGATGATAATGCAATAAAACGATTGGAAGAACTAGAATTTCGCTAAAAACCACCTGAATAGATAGATAACTAGAAGTATGACTCTTATCCAAAAATAGGTAAACCTCAGACTTTGCAAACCTTCCACTTCCCAAACACAGAAAATCCCACATTCATCGAAAATCCAACCAGACATTGCAGTGTCGATTTTCTTCTGTCAGCAAAAAAAGTCAACAACAGAATAAATATATACGTTTTCAGAATGTGGGTCATGTACTTTTATCCATTTCTGAAAGATACTTTACCTTATCGCATAAAAAATTTTCCCTATAACCAAAGACATAATAATTTTTTATCCTCCCAAAAATTGATAGAAAAAGATGCTAAATCATCATTTAAACTCATATTTTTTTTTTAATTTAAAGCTATAAATATGTTTTATATTAAATTTTAACATATTTTTTTAATAATATTGTATTACTGATTATAAATTTTATATTATTTATAAATTAACACCTGTAATTTATCTATCTGTATCGAGATGATAAGTTAATTTATATTCTGTATATATTAATCTTCCGCAGAGCTTCTTGTGGACCTAAATTATAATATATAAAAGGCCCTCCCTCTCTTCTAATAATGCATTTAAAAATGTGAGGCCCTAAGCTATAGACTTATAACCCGAGGCCCTAAGCTATAGTATTATAACCCGAGACC